CCTATAATGCACAGGACAAACCCCACATTTGGCACTATGCTGCTATCATCTAGTGTGTAGAGGCTGGGGATGCTACTAAATGTCCTATAATGCACAGGACAAACCCCACAACAAAACACGATCTGGCCCCAGGTGTCCCTAGCACCAAGGCTGAGAAACCCTGACCTGTAGTCCAAGCCACCAGCATCTCTTGCCTGGGCCACGAAGTATCTTTTTTCCCAAAAGGAGGCTGTTTCCACTCTTGCACCCTCCCACCCCAGTCCATTTTCTGCTCAGCCAGATGGAGCTTTTTAAAACATAAATAAAACCACACATTTCCTGGCTTAATAGCCGAAATCATTTTTTTTCCTCCTTGCTCGCTGTCTGGGCCCTGCCAGCCTTGCAATCTCACCTGGCTGGCTGCAGCCCCCGTTCTACCTCTGCTCCTCTCACACTCCTGGCTGTCCCTGCCTCCTGGGCTTTGCACTGGCGGTTCCTCTGCTCAGGAGCTCTGTTCCCTGACACCCTATGGCTGGCCAGTCCCTTCTTGCCATCCAAAGTCTCCACCTACATGTCACCTCCTCAGAGAACGCCCCCATTTGCATTTTCTGCACTGTGCCCGTTACTGGTGTGTTTCCTGTTCGTGTGCACATGCTCTGTGTCTGTCTCTCCCGGGAGACCCCGAGCTGCTTGCTAGCAGGCACCGTGCTCGCTGCTGTATTCCTAGAACAGTGCCTGGCATGTACTAAATGCTCACTAAATATTTGCTATGAGAATGAATGAATGGACTGCAAATGCATCTTTTCTTCAGCCTCCAACAGTTTTTTAAGTAATGAATTATTTTTATAAACATCATAGAGGATCCTTTTTTTAAAAAGCTAACAGTACAGAGAAGTTAAAAAAAAAAAAAAAAAAGCAGGGCGGGCGTGGTGGCTCACGCCTGTAACCCTAGCACTCTGGGAGGCTGAGGTGGGCGGATTGCTCGAGGTCAGGAGTTCGAAACCAGCCTGAGCAATAGTGAGATCCCATCTCTACTATAAATAGAAAGAAATTAACTGGCAAAACTAATATATATAGAAAAAAAACTTAAGCGGGCGTGGTGGCACATGCCTGTAGTCCCAGCTACTTGGGAGGCTGACGCAGGAGGATTGCTTGAGCCCAGGAGTTTGAGGTTGCTGTGAGCTAGGCTGATGCCAGGCACTCACTCTAGCCGTGGCACAAAAGTGGAGACTCTGTCTTAAAAAAGAAAAAAAAAAAAAGCAAACATCTACCCCAGATCCCTCCCACCAGAAATACCAGTTTTATTTTGGTGTTTGGTTCGGATGTCCCCTGTATACACACAGATACAGTGATGGGAGTGTGGCTGGACCAACCAATAGTTTTGTAAGAATGTCAATTCACTTTTTTTTTTTTTTTTTTTTTTGAGACAGAAGTCTCGCTTTGTTGCCCGGCTGGTGGTGTGCCGTGGCGTCCTAGCTCACAGCACCTTCGAATCTGGGGCTGGTGATCCTTCTGCTCAGCCTCCGGGTAGCTGGGACTACAGACATCGCCACGATGCCGGCTAATTTTTGTATATATGATATCAGTTCGGCACCATATTTCTTTCTATTTTAGGTAGAGATGGGTCATCGCTCTTGCTCAGGCTGGTTTTATACTCCTGACCTTGAGCAATCCGCCCGGCGCTCGGCCTCCAAGAGCTGGATTACAGGCGTGAGCCAACAGCGCCGGCCCCAACTTTTATCTCTTTGATCTAACTATTCCTGTTTAAGGGGGAAAACTCACTGGAGACAGGCGGGTGGCAGTGGGCGTTTGGAGTCTCCCTATCTGGAACTTCCTATGAGGAGTGTCGGACTTCATATTTGGAACGTAAATCACTGCTCAGTTGAGAACCCAACAGATGGACGGTCTATTTAATGCTGTGGGGTCCCTGTCGAGGACTGGTTCTACCAACAGACTAGTTGCTTTTAGGCAGATTTTGAGTGCATGGTTGTTTCTGATGGACAGAGGACATAATTTAATCTAGGTAGCCGGCCGCTGTGTGGTATCTGAATTCTGCCGGGTTTGTGGCTCTCTTTCTTCGTGCACGAGAAAGGAAGGCTGCTGGTGAACGGCAGGATGTTCAGCTTGTCCAGGCCTTGCTGAGCTCGTGGGTCGATTTGTAGGATCAGAAGAGAACAAAGGATTTCAAGCTCCTCCACACCATCTGCCGAGGCCTGTCGGTGGATGGGATTCAGGGTGGGTTCCAGGTGCTCCCTGGGCCACACCCGGCCCCCTGTGAACTCAGGTGCTTTGCGTGCCCCAGCTCAGGGTGCCCTGACCCCGGTCGCCCAACGCTCCTGGACAGATCTGGAAAAGGCTGTTTCAGAGTAGTGAGTCATTTTCTCTGCTCCCCGTCTCCCCTCACCCCGCCTCCCAGTCCCAGGGGACTAGACATTCGCAAGCAGGCGCAGTTTTCTGGGAGTTTTCTTATACTTAACTGGCTTCCAAGTCTGACCTCTTTGGTCTCTAGTTAAATTGATGCCAAACGAGGACTGTTCCTGGTTTAAGAATCACAGATTGTCTGCGGCTTCAACGTATTCTCGGGTACTGCTTCTCTTGGCCTTTTTTTGGGGCAGAAATTCCCTCTCCACCTCCCCCCCCCGTCAGATCTTTTTTTTTGTGCTAACTACGCGTGCTGGCTTCCTACCAGGAATTTAGACTTCTCGGGCCTCTCTGATCCCTGGACTGAGCGCCCTCGAGCCAGGAGATTCTTGCGGAGGCAGGCGGTGGGAGTGGCAGGGGGGAAGCGTGATTTGGAGGGAGCATCACGCTACCGCCAGAGCTTCCGCCTCTGCACCTCTCTGTGTCCACCCAGGGAGCGAGGCAGCGCTGTGGGACTAGGAGAATGAGGCATACGGGTTGAATTAACCTTTTCTTCAGTCTAAGTCTTCCATGACTACGCAGTGTCTGATTGAACCATTTAAGTCAGTCGTCCCCTAAGCCCGTGATATTTCTGGACTGTACCTATAAATGCATACTGACATGGGCAAAGGTTTTATGACTCTAAGGTGGGTGGATCAGCCCCTACTGGAAATAAAACTGAAAGATCCGGTAGACAGTGATCTAGACTGCTTCTCACCAAGATGTGTTGGCTTTCTCCTTTTCCTGAGCACTGCAGAACCCCTGCCCTTAACCACAGTGTGGCCGTGTGAGGTTCTCAGCCTTTTCATCAAAGCCACCACTGCAGTCGATTTTCTGCTTTACTGACGCAAGCTGGCCTGAAGTTATTGGACCAGGAGATTGGTGGTCCCGCTCAGATTTCAGCTGTGCTACTGGAAAACCATCTCCTTTCAGGAGATCTTTCCTGTCAATGCCTTCATTTCCCTGTTTCTTAAAATGAAGTCATACTAATCTAACCTCTGCCTTCTCCAAGTGACAAATAGGAACCTTTTCTTCAGAAGAGAGAAATTGCCTAAAGCATTCATCCTTCATTCATTTATTCAACCAACAAATTTTTACTGGACTCTTATAGTGTCAGCTGATCGTGCTTATAGTGGATTGTGTCTTCCCGTGTCTTATAATCTTGGATTGTAAATTCATCTTTAGCAAGGTTTTATCTATGGGAATCCTATACATCTGGATGAGGGTATATCCCTAGAGTAGGGGTCCTCAAACTTTTTAAACAGAGGGCCAGTTCACTGTCCCTCAGACCATTGGAGGGCCGGACTATAGTTAAAAAAAAAAAAAACAACTATGAACATATTCCTATGCACACTGCACATATCTTATTTTGAAGTAAAAAAAACAAACGGGCAAAAACACCCACATGTGGCCCAAGGGCCGTAGTTTGAGGATGCCTGCCCTAGAGTATCACTGGCCCACAACACTACTAATACTAATTTCTTAGCTTGCTCTTTCCTGGACCACACAGGTGGTAGGTAGTTGAACTCCAAGCTCTGGGTGAATATGAGGTTGCTGTTTTTTAGGGTATATGATTTTGTTTTTACCTCAAGCACAGGCTGAGCAGACATCTTCACTCTCCTGTGTTGGTCAGCGAATACATTCTAGTCTACCCCTTCTTCAAGACTGTAGCCTTTCAAGGGTCCTGATTTTATACAAGGTCTTAGGTTCCACCACCCAAGGCATCATCTTCTGTTCCCACGTGGGCCCCGGGAGTAGCACCTTCTGGGCTGCTACTGTGTCACCTTACTGCTCTGGCTTTGGGCTTCTCTCCCTTTGGGCCCCAGGGGGTTTCCCTTTCTTATTGTGAGCAGGCTTTGCATTTAAAACAATATTTGTTGGATTCCATCTAGCATTTCTGGATGTTTTGTGATGGGAGGGTTTTTAGGGTACCTCCGTCACCATGTACAAGGCGTTGCACTAGACACTAGAGATCTAAGGCAGGGAAGGACAAGATGGTGGTGTGAATGCAGTTGCAGAGTAATGGAGGTGACTGGCAATGATGCAGTGTGACAGGTATCAGAGTCCAGGTGCACAGTGAGGCCTTTGAGGCCCTGCGATTCCTTTTATTCATGGTAATGAGAAAAGCCAAACTAAGTCTTTCCCATTTTTGCAGTGGGTGATGATTCTAGAGTCTATTTGCTTATACATCCTGCAAGCATTTTCTGCATGCCAGGCACAGTACTAGACACTGTCAAATAAACTATCACATTCATTTCCAGCAATAACTTTGTGACAATAGGTATTTTTATCCTCATTTTATAGATGAGCCAACTGAAGCGTAGGGAGACTAATTACTGTGCTCAGAGGATGCACCTAGTACGTGTTGGACTCACATTCAGACACAGGTCTTCTGGCCCCAGAGCACGGCTCTTCCTACTCCAACATGACTCTACAATAAAGAAACTAGCCAAGCACCAGGGAGTCCCATGCAGAAGGGTCCTTCATTTTCACACTTCCTGTTCCTTTTCTCTTTCTAGCCGTTGGGGGCTGGGTGTGTCCCTGACCCCCGGACTGGTCCCAGGGCCCCTGTGGGTGTCCTGTCCACATCTCTGAGTGGTCTGTCTTCTTCCCCGCCACAGGAAGGATACTTAACGAACCCGAGGAGCCTCTGGGAAGACTACCCGCATGTGTACCTCCCGTGAGTACTCTCATGACTCAGTCCCCAGGGAGGAACGAGCTGGCCCACTGTCTTCCCGTCCCAGAATGTGGCCAGACCACGGTGGGCCAGCTGGCCTGAGGACAGGATCGTTCCCTGAGCCTACTGGGGCAAGGTGTCGTGCATGGCAGGCTGGTCTGGGAGCCACTTCCTCCCAGCATGCTTGACTGGAGAAGCCCCAGATGAGCTGTTATCTGTACTGACTCTTGCCACAGAGGTCCCTAAACTGCGTGAGACAGATAGAGAAGCAGAACATCTCCATAAAGTCCTCGGGGCTCTGTACCATCTCAGCAACCCACTTACGTTCACGCACATCCTCCCTCCGGCCAGCCGTGGCCGAGCCCTGTCAGAGGCGGCGTCCCCTGCCTCTCTTGGTGCTGCCAGGATGCCAGGAGGGTGACACCTGGGCCCATCTCCCTCAGGAGGCCACCCTTTGCCTTTCTAAGACCTTTAAGAGCAACAATGGCAAAGGATGCTGAGCTGAGTTAGATGGTGCCCTAGCTACTTAGAGCCATTCATTGCTTCTTAGCATATTTCGTGGCCACCATCTCTGTCAACAGTGCTCTGTAATCAGCTCCTTCTTGGAGGTTGAAGAAGCCCTTCTTGGCACTCTTTTAGCCATTTTTGTGTCTATCCCTGGACTTGCTATGTCCCTTCAGCTGGTCTTGTATGTGGAGCAAGGGCACAGGCCAGGAGGGAAGCCAGGGTCCCCGGGCTCAGGGTGGGTGATCGCTGGGCTCACTCCCTCACTCCTGGCCCAGCTTGTCCCACACGGAGTGGCCCGTGCCTTTCCTTCCTGTGCTCGGCATTTTTCTCTGTCCTGCCCATGTGACCCGCCACCCTGTCTCCAGCTTCCAGGTGAAGTTTTTCTACCTGTGCCAGCTGGCCTACTGGCTGCACGCGCTGCCTGAGCTGTACTTCCAGAAGGTACGGAAGGTGAGTGCTCACTTCTCCTTCCCACTCTGGGAGGCCATTCGTTTGTTTCCACTCTCCTCCTGCTTTTCCCGATGGTTCCTCCCCTCCCTCTCCTCTGGAAGCACCGAGTGGCGGGTTGTGATGGGAACTTTTTGGGGGTTTTTGGTTAATTTGTTCGTTCGGCCCTTGGGGAGGGGCCCGTTGGCCCCGTTGGGGGCGGGCCCCCGTTTTCGTTTTTTGGTTTGCTGCTTCGGCCGGGCTTTTGGTTTTGGGGGGGAATTTTACTTTTCTTTTTTTGGTTGGGGAGGGTTTTTTCCTTCCTTGCCTTTTTTAAAAAACTTCTTTATAGTTTCCCTCTGAATTATTTCCAAAGCCCTCTTCCCCAGTGCCTGTCCCTTCTTTCTCAACCCAATCCTCGCGCTCTGACACCAGCCCCGAAGCTGCTGGAATCCAGGAGTGGACCTGAATGCCCTTGGAATTTTCAGTGGCCCAGTGCATGGTGTGACATGGGACCGTGTGTTGCAGCAGCCCAGCCCTGAGGAGAGTAGGCTGGCTTGGCCTCCTCTCGGACCCCCTGCACATGTCCCCTCTGTTCCCGCATCTCCGGTTGGAGAAGGAGCAGCTTTATCGTGCGTTTCTCTTGTTTCCAGGAGGAAATCCCCCGCCAGCTCCAGTACATCTGCCTGTACCTGGTGCACATCGCTGGAGCATACCTCTTAAAGTGAGTGCGACCTGGAGCCAGCCAGACTTCCTTGCCCTTTTACGTCCATGCAGTTATCCACACAGGCATTTGCTTGGCAGGCATTTACTGGGCACCCCACGTGTGCCGAGTACCGTGCTAAGACTTGGGAAAATGGAGATGGATAATGGACGATTCCTTTACCTTCAGTGGTTCATTCTCAGCCTAGGTGGGCGAGACAGTTACAGACCTAAGAAAGGACAGTTTAGTGGGGTAGGCAGGTGTCTGTCACCTGCTATGGGAACCCAGAAGGGTGACTTCTTTAACCCGAGAGAAGACTTCCGATGGATGTTGGCCTTTGAATTGCGGCTTTGGGGGTTGCAGGTATCCCCAGGCTGGCTCCTGCCTTGAGGTGTCCAGTGGCATGTGCCACTAGAGCTTGTGACTCTGGAATTCCCTTCCCTTTGGTTTATAACGAAATGGAGAGTAAGTTGCTTCTTGGTGGTTCTAGAAGTGGAAAGAGTTGCTGTAGTGTTTGGCCTTGAGAGTCTCTTAGGAAAAGAAGCATCTTGATGCATGAGCTATGCCATTGATAACTTGGACTTTTCCTGAGCCTTATCCATGTGGTGCAGGGGAACACCTTGTACTTTACTTTCTCTCGCCTGGCATTTTGAGCACTTGCTATATATAGCTTTTTGCTAAAGTGCCTGGAGATCCGGTGGCGCTTGTCTCCTAGGTTCTCCCAGCAGGCGTCCCGGGAGAGCGACTGACTCGGATTAATAGAGGCAGGGAGGGAGGGAGTGCTCAGCTCTGTTCTCTGTCTCTGGAGGCTCGTAGCAGCTTCAGTCCTACGTGGGTCTCTGAGGGTCGAAGGCTGCATCGTGGTGCCAGCTCTGCCCTCGAGTGGGGTGCTCATGTGTCACGTGCAGGGGAGAGTGTACAAGTAAGGAACACGTCATAGTTCTATATTCCAAGCTCAGAAGACTTGCCATGAGCACTTTTCTGTGCTTGGTCCCAACCTAGGTGGTGCTAAGCGCTGCCAAGAGCCTAAGCCAGGTTCACTATGGGAGCAGGCAGGGGGCACCTGACCCAGACAGGACAGGTAAAAGGACAGCGGGTCATACTAGGAAAATTCCGAAGGGAGTGACAGCTAAACTGCATCTTAAAGGGCGACACAGGGCCAGCCAGGGAAAGTGGGAGGGGAAAGCAGAGCCCAGGCACAGGGGACAGCCTGAGCCCAGGTGCAGGGGCACCTGCGTGGCATCTTGGGGGGAGTGTAAGGCCAGTCTTTTCCCCCCAGCCTCAGCCGCCTGGGCCTGATCTTGCTGTTGCTGCAGTACTCGACCGAGTTCCTCTTCCACATGGCTCGACTCTTCTACTTCGCAGATGAAAACAACGAGAAGCTGTAAGTGGGGCTGCAGGAAGCTGGCCTGCCCTGGCCTGGGCAGCCGCCTCCCCGGAGGCCTGGAGGTTGGAGGGTCCCTCCCTGGGTGCACACTGCCCGCTCACCTGCAGGTGGTGCCCTATTTTTTTTTTTTTCCTGGAGCATATTATTCTAGCTGTCTCATCCCTCATGCACTCTCCAATGCCACCCTCGAATCCTCTTCCCATTTGGGGTCCCTTCTGAAGTGGGTGAAGGTTCCTCCAAGGGCCCTAAAGGCTGACGTTTCTCTCCTGCCGTTGAGCAGATTCAACGCCTGGGCTGCCGTGTTTGGGGTCACCCGCCTCTTCATCCTCACCCTCGCCGTGCTGGCCATCGGCTTCGGACTGGCTCGCATGGAGAACCAGGCCTTTGACCCCGAGAAAGGGAACTTCAACACTTTGCCTTGCCGGTGAGTTGATGGGCAGAAGCCCGAGGTGGTTGGTCAGGGCTCCCCGAGCCCTGCCCGGAGCCCCCTGAACTTGGCGCGACTCCCGAAGAAGGTCAGGAGGTGGCGGGCGTCTGAGCCTCCCGCATGTTGATGTTTGGCTGGAAATCTCTGGGCACGAGGCCCGAGGAGAGAAGAGGTACCAGCCTTCTTCCTTCAAGGCCATCTTCACTTCTGGCCCCGGTGTGCTCAGACTGCAGTCCGGGGCTCGTGCCAAGTGCAAATTCCTTTACATTCATCAGTGCTTTGTGGTGTCACCAAGGTGTCACGTCCAGTGCCTCAGTTGATTGTTACAGCCACACGTGGGCTCTTTAAAACCATGTTCCCAGAGCCCTCCCTCCGGGTGAGGAAGATAGTGAGGAAGCCATGATGATTCTTTAAGGCCCACAGGCCTGGGAGGGTGACTTGTCTGGGGTGGTTCTGCTTTTAAGGGACAAGCTAGGTGAGAAGCCACTCTCCGGGAATTATTCCAGCTACACCGTGCTGCAGTTCATTTGAATTCCACCGGTATCTGTGGGGCTCGCCTCAGCTTTGCTCTGTGCTGTGGACACAGAGGAGACACACACAAAGGACCCCTCCCTCAGCACGGGAGTAGCGTGGCGAGGAGCCGGACGCTCGCCTGTCGCCATTTCCTTCGTGTCTCCCTGGCCCGTCTCGTCCCCACACCTGAAGTGTGCTAGAGCTAGAGACTGGCCGAAGCTCACGCTCTTCTTCCTGGCGATGGTGGTGGGGAGGCCCAAGATGATGGGCCACACAGCAGCAGGGTCCCGGGCCCTGGTCCCCCAAGACCATGAGCCCATCCTCAAGCCCACCTCCCTGCCCCCACCCGCAGGCTGTGCGTGCTGCTGCTGGTGTGTGCCGCCCAGGCCTGGCTCATGTGGCGCTTCATCCACTCCCAGCTGCGGCACTGGCGGGAATACTGGAACGAGCAGAGCGCCAAGCGGAGAGTCCCAGCTGCCCCCAGACTACCAGCCAGGCCCGTCAAGAGGGAATGTGGTGAGTGCCAGGGCCCTTGGCAGAGAGCAGAGCCAGGCGAGGTCTGTCTGGGACGGGCGGGGAGGAGCCAGGCTCCTCTCCTCCTCGGGTGCTCCCCAGACCAGTCCTGCGGGCTCCTCCTCCCCAGCTCCTTCCGGGGCCTGGGGCTCCTGGCTCCCTGACTGGCACGTGGCTGGGTGTGGGCCAGGGACAGATGGTGGGCGGGACTGGCCCTGACTCGGCTGGGAGCCCTGGCCACTGCGGGGCAGGGCAGTGGCTGGGTGGGGAGCTCTGGCGGGAAACATGTCCTCAGGGTGGCTTCTGGACCCCGGCCAAGTTCTGCTGCTGCTGCTGCTGGCGCCCGTTCTCCGTGCTGCACAGCCGCTCTGTCCTCACCTGCCCTTTGCTCCGTATCCCAGCCTGCCCCTGCCTCCCAGCCTGCTGGCTCCTCCTCTGCCTTCAGGAGTGACTCACCGTGCCGCAGGGCTAGGTGGGCAGCAGCCTGGGACGCCCACTTCTCCTCTGGCCCCTGCACACACCTGCCCCCTCCAAGTGCCCAGGCACTGCCAGCCCTGTGCTGTCGGTCCCGCCTGCCAGTCCTGTCTGCACCAGGCTCTGTTCTTTGACTCACCTGCCTTCCTGCAGGCAGCCACCTGCTTGGCAAGGGCTCATGTGTGTCTGAATCAGACACGTGCGCCGCTGGGTGTGACGAGGAGTCGGGCCTGGCTGGCGGGGGAGGTGCAGGGCATGAGGCTGCAGCCGCACGCACCTCTTCGGCTTTGAGAAAGCACGCGGAGGTATTTTTAACAACAATGGAAAGAGAGCACAATTTTTCTGCCAGATGGGTGTCAGGCATCTGAGTGAGGCCTTGTCCCCGTAGCCTCGTGTACCCTGTTGCTTCTGTTGCCACCGTTCCTGGGAGTTACTGAAATGGGCTGGTGCCCTGCAGGGGCCCGAGAGGAACTGGGGGTACTGGCGGCTGTGAGTGAGCTGAGTGGGCGTGCAGCCCCAGCCTCGGGCCCGGGCGGGCAGGCCTCTCCCTGCTTCTCAGTTTTCCTGTGTGCTGCCCCCAGGCCCCTCCTGCTGAAGGACAGAGCCCGAGCCCCTCAAACAAGGCCACCTGTCCAGGACACTGGGGAAAGCAGGAACTGACCGGGAGCTGCCTGCTGGCCTTCCTGTGCTGTGGGAGCTGTGGCCCAGTGTCCCCCCGGCTTGTCCCCGAGCAGAGGCAGGGCTGCCTGCCCGCCCACCTCCCCGCTGCTGCCGCCGTTGCATGGGAACGCCACATGTGTTTGTCTCTCTCCACCTCCCAGGTTACCACGAAAATGGAGTGGTGAAGGCAGAGAATGGAACCTCCCCACGGACTAAGAAACTCAAGTCTCCTTAAGGCCAAAGTGCTGAGAACAGGAATCCTCCTGGTGGGGGTGCAGCAGGGGACAAGGAGCCCCGGCCCCTCCCTGCCTCCGCCCTCCTGCTCCTGGTGCTCGTCTCAATGGCAGAGGCCCGTCTCTCAGTGAGGGGTTTCTTCTTCTTGCTTCCTGGCTGTCTCTTCTTCGTCCGTACGCCATTCTCAATAAAGCCAAAACTCTTTCTCTTTCCCTCCCTCGGGCCACCTCGAGTCCTCAGCCCTGCCCTGAGCTGGGCCTCCTAGAAGCCCGGGTTCTCAAGGCCGTCTGTCTCTTTGCCTCTTCTTTCTCTTCCTTCATGGCTGCTGCTTTCTCTTTCACTTTCTCGTTTCACCCGGTCGTGCAATTTTTCCGTGTCTGATTTTTACGGCGGGAGGGAGCTGAGATTGCAGTCCTGTCCGTCAGGCCCCGGGACCTGTCCGTCTGGAAGCCTCGTGCCAAGGAGCCTCCAGCTGGGGCCCAGCGGCAGGTGCCTCGGTGTCCCCTTGTGGAGGGGCAGGAAGAGGAGAGCACCCTGCCGTCCCGGATCGTCGTCTCCTTGGTGCTGATTAGCCGGCGAGATCCGAGATGCCAGTTCCGCCCGTCGCCAGGCGCGGCAGCCGCCGCTGGCTGCAGACGCCAAGGCATTTGGCCTTGGGACCTGACGACTCGACTCGATCCAGAAGGACGGCGTTGACTCCGTTGGGTCTCGTGACTTGCCACGGCTGGGCAGGGACCGGCGACCAGCCCTGCTGGCTGCTGCTCTGTTGGGGGGAAGCGCCGAAGGAGGACAGGTCTGCCCGCCGTGGGGAGCGAGAGCAAAGCGCGTGAGCAGCAGCTCTTCTAGAAAAGGTCATGGCGGCAGAAAGGACGACGGGGAAGTCCACCGAGGCCTTTCTTCAGCTGCCCCAGCTGCAGTTGCTTTCTCAGCCGTTCACCAGCATGCAAAACCAAACCAAACGGCGGCGGTGCGCAGGCCTGCCAGAGAGACAGCGCTGGGCCTGAGCTCCGAACCGGCCGCCCCGTCTGGGGCCAAGCTCGCTGCCTTGGCCCCGCCGTCTCTAGCTGCGGAAACACTAAGCCCCAAGGGCTCCAGCCCCGTGACAGCCCCCGGTATCAATCACGGGGGCGGTCGCCTGGGTTATTCTCACTCTGGCCTCACCAGCTGAGTGTTCTTTGGAATCGTTTTTGTCATTTGCTGGTGTTTGTCGAGCGCACCTCTAGCATCTTGGAAGGCGCGAAGCCAGGACTGACTCCGGGTCACTCTGCTAGCTAGATGATAGGAGTCTTTTTGCCCCCCTCCCAAACACATCTTTTCCCCTCCTTTCCCCCTGAAGACAAGGCCTCCGAGTCCTTATGGTGCCTTGAAAGGACTTGCAGAAGGGGGGTAGACTTTAAAAGGTCCCGGTTAACAACCTCGGAACTCTGAGCTGAGGCGAAGGGGAGCCGTTCTTGGCGGGCACGGGAATGCTAGTGTCATTGGTGTACCCGTCCTCTTTCTGGCGTCCAGTAGAAACCAAACCTTGGATTTTTATCCAAAAAGGGAGGAAATGAATCTTTTCATCAAAGCAACTCCCTCTTACGTCATAGATAAATTTTAACTTTCCAGTAACTGAGGGATTTGTTTCCTAAGACCATTGCAGACCATCTCTCTGTCCAAGGTAAGGTTGCAGAAGTGGGAAGAAATACCCTGGGCCTCTTTTGATTTCCCTTAGGGAGTGGGACAGTGTTTGCGAACATGCGCGTTTCTCCCATCCCTCCCTCTCCTTCTCTGACAGTTCTCTAGGCGGCAGGGCAGAACTTTGGGGAAAGGGGTAGCTCGTAGCTTGGTATCAACACAGCAGAGCAGATCAGGAACCAAACCGCTCGGCCATTTCAGTCACACAGCCCTGACACAGGCTGACGTTGAGATCGTACTCCCTCCCCTGCCTGGGATCTGCTAATGGAAGGAATGTTCAGCCAACAGCCTACTAAGCCCACCTTGCTCCCCCGTTAGCCTGGGTCCCCTCTCGGCTGTGTCATTGGCTGGGCCTCACCTGCTTCCTGCCGGAGGCCTCTCCCTCTCCCAGGCACGTACCGTGTGCTCGCCATGTGCCGGGCGCGGGGCAGGTGGTGAGCAAAGCCGCTGACGTCTTGCCCTCAAGCAGCCTCGGTTCTCGTGTGTAGGTTTTCGTAGCTGTGTCCCAGGACACCTCTATGGGTGCCATAGACGACCTGGCTTCGTGTTCCTAAGTCTGCAGGCTTCCAGTGCCGCCAGTATATTGTGCCTTGGGTGTGATCCCACCAAGCCAGTGTCTGGGGCGGGCTTAGGCCGGCTCTGCTTCTCAGTGGACCAGGGTGTGTTCAGGGTTTGTCTTATGTAAAAAAATGAAACAGAACAACAACAACAAAAAAACCCTGAGACCATGAGTAAGGCTGGCATCTCACCAGCCTGGGCTTCAGGGACATTCTGTGTGGGGTTAAGTGGTAGATAGGGCTCCTTTGTCACCTCCCGACCAGCCTCTCGGGCGCATTTGTCTCACAGCAGAGCCAGGTCTTTGGCAGGTTGACGCGAACCACGTTGCCAGAGCTGAAGCAGTTCCACGTCAGCCTGTGAGCCTGTTGGGCCCGCTTGTTCTAATTTTGGTGACTTTGGCTACTTTCTTCTGTTTCATGCATGAGCGCCTGTCCCCAAAGTGCCAGGCCGCTTGCGAAGGCCCTTGCCATACTCTTCCGAGTCTGAGAGGCCGGCTCAGCACCGTTCGCCAAGCGCAGGAGAAGAGATGTAACCTACCTCAGCACCTGCGGCCTCGAGACATCCCCGGCCGGCCGGCGCGTGTGGGGAGGCCACAGGTGGCAGTGGCAGGACAGGGAGGCTGCCCTGCCGGACGGGGGAGTCCCGTGCCGCCGGGCCCCCTCCTCCGAGCTTCAGTGCTGGGAAAGCTATTTTTACCTTCCAGGCTCTGCCAGCCGCACTATTAATAGGTTTCATGTGTTCCTCTTGAAGGCAGGGGATGGTTCTGGGCGAAAGGGGAGCGGGCCGAGCCAGGAGGGGAGCTGCCGCCGCTCCCCGTGTGAGTCACTTCTCACCCGGCGCGTGCCGGGGCCACCGGACCTAGGCGGCTGCTGAGAACCTTGTCTGTTCTTGTCCTTAGGCTGGACTTCCCAACATCCGAGAAGCCAACATAGGCGTCTGTGCTATGGTCCCCTCACAGGTGCTTGTCATGACTAGCATCCCAGGTACCTTAAACACCTCTGCTGCCTGGGACAGGTGTGTGCTTCTGCGCTTGCTTCTGGGACCTCCTTCCTCAATACCCCCTTTGACCTTTTTTTTTTTTTCCGAAGCAGTGAATTAAGAGGCGGGGTCAGAGAGCGCGTCCCCTCCCGACGTAACAGCTGTGTTCCCCGGTGGCTTTAGTCAGAAGCGGCTTGGGGGAGGCCTGGGTTTGGGCTTCCTTCATGTGCTTCGGCCTCCACAGTCTGGGTTTCCTGGGCTTGGTGTGAGAGGAAGTGGGGGAGTCTGGACATAGCTGGGCCTCCGTGTCCCAGGTGAACGGGCTTCCTTCCTTGATCCTCTGAGGCTCTGTTCTCTGTCACCGGGGAGAGTGCTGAGAGCCTGGGAGTCTGGACGACAGACCGCCCTGCCGTTCTTCCTCCCGCCTGCGGCCTTCTGCGTGCAGCCTTGTGGCAGGAGAGGGCTGCGGGGGTTACTGGAGCATTAGGACATTGTCGATGACTTGGAGGCCTGAATGCAGTCCCAATCCCTCTCTGGCCCGCGGTTGTCCCCTTGAGGGAGACTTTACCGGCTTCTCCCTCCTTGCCCTACCCCTGGCACCTCCCCAAGGGCTGAGAAAGGCCGCTCCTCCCCAGGGAGGGCTGCCTCACTCCCGTGCGGAGGTGCCCGGATTAAGCAGAGCTGTGAAGAAGAAAAGCATTCGGATTTGCAGGCTCCCTGCGGCCTTTTGCTCCACAGAGTTTTTGTCCTGAGCAGATCCTTTGTGTGTGCGTGCACGTGTGTGTATAGTAAGTGCCTTACTCTGCCGTGTGGTCTTCGCTTGTGCTTCGCGGCCAGCCCCCAGCCGCCAGGGCTCTAGAGCTGTTTGTCATATGCAGCTGAGGACACCACACCTCAGTACGGTTACATATAAAAGGGACGCGGATCGTGACAGTTTTGCCTCATTCGTTTCTGACACCCTCCCCTTCCCGTTGCATTAGGGTCTGGAGTGTTCTCAGTGTTGTTCCCGGTTTCTCCCTCGTGTGTCAGTTCTCTTGTGGCCTGCTGGTGGCTGTAGGAGCCGGTGAGGTGGCCCAACCGCAGACACCTGTGCCTCGTTCCTATTAGGGAAGCTCAGAGACTTCCAGAACCACCACCCCCCTGACACCCCATCTCACCCTTGTGCCTCTGGCCCCACACGGCAAACCCTGCTCTTCCAGTCCCCCTCCATCCCAGATCGAATACATAACCATGACCCTCTTCCGATCTGTTCTGCTTCCCATTCAACCCAAAGTTTCTACGATAAAGGTGTTTACTTTTACTTCCCAGTCTTGAGTGTTAACTCGTAGCTGACGCATTCGACAGGTGGTCTAGTCTGGCTGTTGCAGACCTGTGTGAGCTCCTGATTCAGTGTTACCTTGTGTTAGTAGCAGCAACCCTCTGCCCCTGCCCCTTTGCCTGCCTGCCTTTTCCTCACTCTACCGGGTTGTGCAATAACTCTCCCAGCCGGTGGTCTCTTCCACAGGCCTTTCTGTCCCTGACAGTTTTCCCTGCGAGTGGGGGAGAGATGGGACCCACGGGAGGGGTAGTCGTCATCCCTTTACAGAAGAAATGTCAGCCACTTTGCTTTTGTTGCTGTCATTCTCGTGGCCCTGGGTGGGTTTCTGTGGCACTCTTGTAGAACATGTAGCATCATCTTAGAAGTCCATGTATTTCTTTTTTTTTTTTTAATTCTATTGAAGAGGAAAAACCCATCCTTATGATGGGGCATAAGTCAGTGTGCAGGAGTAAGATCTGTAGTGATGCCCATGACATCACTGTCACTCTGCCTGAAAGCATTCCAGAGCTGCTTGTTCACGTGGAGAGGAAGGAGATTTTTTTTTTTTTCCTGAGAATCAGCCACAGGTGGATAGCCCTGTTCACCTGATAGGACCTGGCTGTGATAGAAGCACCGTTTCCTTGAGTGTGTATGTGATGAGACTGTAAACCTCATATTTCAGTTCCTCTGTTTAATAAACATCTGAAGGGTGAGCTGAGGCTGCTGGTGCCCTGAGCAACTCATAATGCAAATGTGGACAGATTGTCTCTGTGTTTTTCTACTTTAGCCTGTTCATGTTATGGACCAAATTACAACAAGGAACTCAAGGAAAATTTGTACCTGCCATATTTATGCTTTCATGTAAAAGGGTTGAGGGGGGGGGAGGGATGTCTTTTTACTTTGGGAGAACTTTTTTTCACAAATCATTTTTCCACTGTTTTCTGTCTGGTTTTAAAAACAAACTGCAATTTTGTATGGATTTTTTAAATGTACATTTTGAAACAAATGATCAAATATTTTCTGAAATAACTGAATAAAAGGCATAGAATTATCAGAATAATTGTCTCTGATGTAATTCCTTGACAAGTTTTTATACAGTAGTGCTTTTTAATCGGGATGCTTATGTTTGGTTCCACTTGAAAAATGAGTTTGCATCAGTTCTGTGTCTAATATTTTTCATAGTCATTTCTTACAGATCTTGAGATAGAAATGTGGTGATGTGGATTAGGGAATTGGAATTAAAGGTGGAGGGTCAGTTATATCAAGTGCTGGATAGTCATATGCAATGTTTTTATTTGACTCTGTAACAGTAAAGTGGAAAAAGGGGTTTTCTTAGCGTGAAGTTTGTGGTTAGGAAGCTCCAGAAAGAAGCTCATCCTCCTCGATGTCTGCTCCACCGTGGAGTCATTTGGCTTGGAGGAGATGGGGTTAGTTTGTGTGTAAAGCCACCAAATGCGTTGTTGACCGTAACACATCTAAATATTATAACGATGGCAGGCAGTGGGGATTGCTGGTGTCACTTAGATGGCCTGCTTGCCCATAGCTGTCTGCTGCATTTCCGGAACCATCTTTGGAGAGAGCTCAAGAGATGAGTGCAGTTACAGGTGACAGTTAACCAACGACACTCACAGGGTGTGGGAATTAAAGAGGGAACATTTACTTGCGGTGAAGGTGAGTGGTACTAACGGAGGGAAGGTTTTGGTGCACACTTGGGTAGGTGACCCGGAGCAGCGAATCTTTCTGAGCCTGTTTGCTTATCTGCGACGCATAGGGGTTTTATTTTTGTTTTGCAGGGCATGGTGGTAGTAAAACTTAGAGATACTGAATGTTAAGTTCATGGTACATATACATCCCTCAATAAATTGATCTTATTTGTTTAATGAACCTGATCATACTCATGTGCCAGCAGGATATTCAAGAGTCACTTACCCAAGTGACCCTTGATTCTCTGGAAACATTTAGAGAAGTCTGTGTCTGTTGGTCCCAAATACCTCAATGCGGATAGATCATGGGTTTGACACACCTTAAAGGTATTTTCAAGGCCCCCTGGTGGTGCAGACAGGGTACAGGCCCAGGGCTCTGAGTAGTGGCTCAGGCAACAGCCAGTCTTCACCCACAAGGCAGATTTTACTAGCCCTGGAGCTATAAGTCACCCTGAAGAGCCTTAGACAAGTCCTTCAGTTAGATCTGATAGCTGCAGCTACCAGTGCGTCTCCAGTCTCCACTGCAAACACTAATAGGTAATGCTAATTCATTCTCTAACTCCCTGGTGGCCAATTTGAAGTGACGGTCATTTCTGCCTACTACAGTATTGCTTGCTGCAGGCTAAGCTGTCTTCCACCACCTGAGTCCCGGACTCCAGATGTCTGCCAGCTGTGACTATAGCATAAGCAGTTAGTGGCATCTAATGGCTACACTGCCAGTTAGGATGTTAGTAGGGAAAGTGACCTGCTCTGGCTGTTTTCTTCGTTCCTACGCTTGCTGCCTTGTATTACATATAAACTCGCAGGTGAGTGGTGAGTGCACAGATACCACATAGATGACCTGCTGGCTTTGGTCTTTCATGAAGTTGCTTTTATACCTGGTGATGGTGCTGTCAGCTCTCATTTTCTCAATCTTGGGTAAACTTGAAAGGGATGCATGGTGAGGGGCAGGCAGCAAGCCTAAGGAACAGGTGTGAATAGAGCCAAACTCATTCAAGAGAGCTCTCTCTGAGACACTGCTAACAATTACAGTGGGGCTGACTTTTTAATACTGGTCCCCATTATAGTCAATAGAAAGATATCTATATTTAGTCTTGTGGAAAAGACATAGGAAAATAAAAGATCAGTGGTCAGAACTGAAGTTAAAAGGGCTATGAGCACTTGGCTTTCAAAGGGTGGGTAAGAGGATATTAAATGAGACTTTCCTAATTCTCCATTTGGGCTGAGGACAAAAATTGGCAAGTATCTCTAAATGCTGCCGGTTGCTGCAGATTTGTGAAAGATCTGTGGAGGAGGGTCCCGAAGCCACTCTTCCATGGGAGGCAGGGGTGACGAAGAAAATATTGGTGAGTGTGGATTTCTTGAAAGGGGCAGTCAGAGTGCCGTGGCTCTGCAAGGTAAGTGAGGGGGTGCTATAACAGACTTGGACTTGACACGTGGCTCTCAGAGTTTGGACAGCACAAGACTTGGGATGCCTAGTTCTCAGCTAAAGTGAGTCTCAAGGAAAGGGATTGAGCTGCCTAACTGCATGGCCCAGAGAGCTACGTGGGTGAGAACACTGGGCACGTCGAGTGCACACCCTGGAAGGGTGTGTGGACCTGAAAGGGCCCCCATCCAAGAGGACCTCCTGAGAGGGTTAGAAGGAACTTGAGGGGTGGGGCACACTATTGGAGGTGGGGCAGTCAGGAGGAGACTGGACCATCCACATTTAAGAATGGTATACTGGGTTCCCTGTGGAAAAGTGTTTTTCTAAACACTCACACACACAAAAAAGAGTGCTTTAGGGGAGAGAAAGAGGCAGCTTTCGGGCATATATCACTCAGAGAGCCCCACCCAGATTATGACATTACCGGCTACAGAAATAAGACTTTGCCTTTTTCTCTGGCTTCTACCCATTAACCTTTCCCAGAGCCTACAAGGGCTAGAGACAGCGACGTGGCCGAATAGGGACAAAGGGAGCAGAAGACAAAAGGAAAGAGGAAACAGCCCACTATATCTGCCCTAACACACACACTTCACTACAGGCTTCTAAGCCTGGGGCAGGCAGGAGAGAGTTTAGTAATTTTTAGACTGAAATAAACTTAAACACAAGACACTCTTGGCCAGGCATGGCGGCTCACACCTGTAATCCACTTTGGCGCTTTGGGAGGCCAAGGTAGGAGGACAGCTTGAGGCCAGGAGTTCAAGACTAGCCTGGGCAACATAGCAAGACTCCATTTCTAAAATAGTGGCACGTACCTGTAGTTCTAGTTACTCAGGAAGCTGAGGCAGGAGGATCACTTGAGCCTAGGAGTTCAAGGCTGCAGTGAGCTATGATTGCCCCACTGCACCCCAGCCTGAGCAGCAGAGTGGGACCCTGTCTCTAAAAAAATAATTAAATAGCATAAATACAGATGGTCCCCAACTTCCAGTGGTTGAGCTTAATGATTTTTCTACTTTGCAATGGGTTTATCAGGGTATCGAATACATTTTTGACTTGTGATATTTTTGACCTACGATGGGTTTATCAGGATGTGACCCTGTTGTGAGTCAAGGAGCATCTGGACTTGAAAATGAGACTTTAAAAAAATGGTTATGAATGGGAGTAAAATAAAACATAGGTTCTTACAATAATAGCCTAGAGCAGAAAAGGGGTCAACATAATACATTTATAACCCTTTTAATAAGCTGGAGGTAGCTTAGCTCATTAGGGAAGGGGAAGCCAAGGGAAGTTCCCCAGCAGTTCTGAGAGGGCCCAGGCATGCTGGATCCCTTATCACTCTTTCCTCATTCATGCCACCTTTTGGGTGGCAGGGAGGAATTTGAGATAGCATTTTTATTTATATTTTTATTTTTTTGAGACAGAGTCTCAGTCTCTTGCCCAGGCTAGAGTGCCGTGGCGTCAGCCTAGCTAACAGCAACCTCAAACTCCTGGGCTCAAGCAATCCTTCTGCCTCAGCCTCCCGAGTAGCTGGGACTATAGGCATGCACCACCATGCCCGGCTAGATTTTTCTATATATATTTTTAGTTGGCCAATTAATTTCTTCTATTTTTAGTAGAGATGGGGTCTTGCTCTTACTCAGGTTGGTCTTGAGCTCCTTACCTTGAGGGATCTGCCCACCTCAGCCTCCCAGAGTGCTAGGATTACAGGCGTGAGCCACTGTGCCTGGCAGAGATAGCATTTTTAAAGATGAACTTGGTGGCTGACTTCAACCAAAGAGCAGCCTTGGTTCTAAAAAGCCAGTCATAGCTCATTAGAGAACCAGGAACTGCTATTACTCTTTCCCTCCTATATCAAAGCCAGGATCTCTAAAAGGAATGTTTATTAAATCTCTCTCTCTTTTTTTTTTTTTTACTACAGCCCACACCAACAAATACGTTTTATTATACATCATGATCCAATAAATACAGGCTCAGTTGAAACAGAAGTTTCATGAAAAAAAAAAAAAAACCATACCCTTAGTACCGCACTGATATTTTCTATTATATTTCTTTTTTTTTAATGCAGGTCTACTAATGGGCCTAGAACCACAGTTTGAAACACATATGGAATATTTCCCTACAATACTGAGGCGGAGAGATGGGTAGTGGTGAGGCGGTTGGCTAGCAGCAACAGCAATAATGTGTGCTCATTTCCAACACCCCAAATGACGCTTGTAGGAAATGCCATCATTCCTCCTTCCTGCTTTTAATCATTCTATGTCTGTATTAGTCAGGGTTCTCCAGAGAAGGAGAACCAATAGGATGCGTGTGTGTGTGTGTGTATTTGTATATATATATAGAGAGAGAGACAAAGATTTATTAGTACAAGGAACTGGCTCACAATTACAGAGGCTGACAAGTCCCAAGATCTGCAGGGTGAGTTGGCAAGCTGGAGACCCAGGAGAGCTGAGGGTGTAATTCCAATCCAAATCCAAAGGCCTGAGAACCAGGGAACTGATGGTGTTGCTCCAGTCTGAAGGCCAGCAGGCTGGAGACCCAGGAAGAATTAATGTTTCAGGTTGAGTCTGAAGGCAGAAAGAGGCCCATGTTGCAATTTGAAGGCAGTCAAGCAGGAAGAATTCTCTTCTTTGGGGGAAGGTCAGGCTTTTTGTTCTCTTCAGGCCTTCAAATGATTGGGTGAGGCACACCCATATTAGGGAGGGCAATCTGCTTTACTTAGTCTACTAATTCAAATGTTAATCTCATTCAAAAACACCCTTACAGAAACAGCCAGAATAATATTTAAATGAAATATCTGGACACTTTCTGGTCCAATCATACTGACACATAAAATTAACCATCACTATTATCCCTATCACCCCAAATAAGGCACCAGTCTTAGAACCTATACGATCCAATTTATTAATAATTTAGATTTCAGTAGTAGCG